TGTACACACAAAATCTGCTTTGACATCTAGTGTGGGGAAATACAACAGCCGCCAAGCTGGTGTTGTGCCTTTGTTCAGAGGCCCTCAAGGACCAGTGACTGGAATTGTAGTTTGAAACCGAAACTCATGTACTTGCAATGCAATACAAAATACTAGAAAGGTGAAATAATACCAAGGAGTTTCTCCAAACAGCACCTGTCAAAGGCCTCTAACAAGTTTATTTTATAAATCTGTATCGGAAAAAAAATTAGTAGCACCTTTGGGTCCTCTATTTTTCTTGAAAGCAAGCAGCAACAGAAGAACTTTTCATTGAAGCCATGTCTTTATCTGCCTCCCCCCCACTGTATTTCACATCATGAACCAAGGCCAGGCAAAAATATATTCTTAGTTTATGATCACCATCTAATGGGGGGAGGGGGCTGAGAAACAGCAAGAGAGGAAAGACGGACAGTAAGAGCGTGAGAGACAAAATCGCAAATCTGACCACCTTTCAAAGGAATTTTAAGAGCTGTTTATTAGGCCTATTTTATTTTAATGCAGTTTTTAAAATATCTTTTTATGTCTCCGAACTTTAGAGATGGGCTACAAAGGCAAGTAAATAACTGACAATGCTTGAAGCGAACAAAGGGAGGGAAGGAAGATAAAATTCACGCGACTTTAGTACAACTCTTAATTCCATTTGCAGGCTGCATCGATCAAGGTTACAGTTATCTGAATTTTCAGGTGTTTGTTCTTGTTTCGTAAACTGGGATCATGCGTGGTTGCCTTCCAAATATATTATTAAATATATGAATACATATATAAATATGAATATATTACTGAAAATAAATTGTCGATGTGAGGAAATCAAGCAATGAAAGTCAGTCTTCTCATAGGCCCTGGGCTCTCATGGCAACACCTTCATCTCCATCAAGGCTATAAGTTGTGCCAGTTTCCACGGAGAGCTCGGCCTAGGCCGCAAATTTACCTCAGATCAGTGCTGAGTGGCCCAAGCTCAATAGAATTTAGCTAGCAGCTGACTGTTTTTGCACTAAAACCCTTTAGGGGGCTACAGCAGGTGCCAGAGCCAGCTATCTTCACACAGTTCAAGCTGAACTTAACAGGACGTACAGACGCCTGGACAAGCAAGTCCTACACTCATCTCATATTCAGCTTTTTACACTGTTCCTTGCAAGCGTGTGGGCCAAGATCGCTTGCACTCCCCTCCCCCTTCCTCTCTTTATCCGAAAGAGAACCAGGTACCCAAGAGAGCTTATTTCTCATCGTATGGGTTTTTTCCATAGGGGGTGGGAAGGATTATTCTTTTAACAGCTGTGGCAAACCACAGTGAGAGTTACCGCAGTTGTGCTGATCTCTGAGGGTGGAAGACAGACAAAACGCACCACCTAAGTGGTGGGCTTACCCTTCTTTAAGAATACCTATAGAACATCCTGTGCTTAGAAACGAATGTTAAGAACCTTGAATATGAACCTTAGGTTTCGGCGTTATTAGCAAACTCAGAGTTAATGGGCTCTTCTATGGGTCGGAGGTGCTAGACCTGATTTAACTGGGCTGATCAACTAAGTGACTGGGCTGATCCATCACTTCAAGTAACAAAGAATGCAATCTTACGCACTGTTACCTGGGAGTAAGTCCTACTGAAGTCTGTTGGGCGTACCGCCCAGTAAGGAATGAACAGATCGGACTATGAAGTTGCCCTACAGAACACTTACGTAGGAGTAATTCCCAATTAACAGTAAGACTGTCTTTGGAGCACACACGCACACAGGACTAGGAAGAACATATACTTGCATACCAACTGCTAGCAAATTAATGCCTTCCTAGGGGGAACAACTCTTGATTAACAAGTCACACTTTTAATGTGATTACTGATTTAATCTGATTAGCATTTTAGGCCTTGTTTAATCTTAGTTAACAGCTGTTTTTGCTAAAAAAATAATGCACTGCTCCTAATTAATTAACTAAAGTTAAGCTTTGGGGAAACATGGGTTTTAGTTTTTATCAGAGAACAAAAACTCAACCACTAACAGTAAACAGATGGAAACTGGATACTGACTAAATTAATAAGCCAGAGTTCTTATCAGCTAGCTTTGTAGACGCGGGAAGAAGAGATTACAGTGAGTTGTATATCCCACCACATTCAGGATGATTCATCACTGCAAGGGTGTATTCTGTCCATACGAGTATCTCCGGAGCCAAATTAACCTTGTGCCAATGGAATACACCACCCTTAACAATGCAAGATAGCAGGATGTATAACCCACCACAATGCCCCCAAGTTACCACTGTCCAGGGGAACCACAGGGTGTCTCAAGGTTTTCCCTCTGTTCACATTTTCTAGGGGTTTGAAACAAGACCTATTTTTTAAAAGACTGCTGCATTGCATAGGGCCTGAGATTGGAATAATTATTTTCTAGCAGTATCATATTCAAACAGGAAGTAAACTGTTCGTACTTCAAAATTATTTCATGATAATATGTGGTAGCAATGGGTAGGTGAGCCCTTTGGACATTTCCACTAGGGAATCCTGTTTTCAGTAAAATTCTGTAATGCATATACAAAAGCTCAGCTGCCTACAGTCATGACTATTAGAATGAGTATCACAAGCCGAGTTAACTCTTTTTGTTTTCCCCCTAAAGCAGAAGGTGATGGGTTTACATCAGCCTGCGTAACACTGCACCGTATGTTGTCTTTGGCAGGAAGTCCTCCTTTTTTTTGTTATCACAGCTAGAATTCTGCCTTCTTAACGCTAATTTGTACCAATTGACAGCTAAGTACCATAAGAGAGAATACAGTACCTGGACAATGGAAGGCAAGAAGAGGAAGACATGTTGCTACTGGGTGCTTTTTGGGTGCCAAAAAAAGCAGGCAGTATTCAAGCAGGTGCCTGGAAAACCCATGAGGACAACTCAGCATGCAACTGGTATATTTATTAACAGAAAAATACTTCTGGCAGGCACTGCGTGGGAAGGCACAGCCATAAAAGACAATGGCAAGAGCAAGGAAACTTAACTACAAAGACATGAACATTCCAACTGAGCCCTAGACACAAACCCTGGCGATAAAACACCCAAACCCAAAGGGAAAAGCCTGGCGGATACAACATGACTAGCTAGAGAACACAAGAGCACACGATTCCTTTTCTTTCCAATGTGCCATGTCAACTCTGTCCAGGGGAGCACTCCATTGTTACACATCACCCATGCAATAAAGCAGCACCCACATGGTTGGTGTACAAGTCCAAGTTATGCCATTAGACTTACAAGTCGCACAAGGGACTATTAAAACAGAAGTCGGTATTTTCTGTGAGTTGCAATCAGCATGATTCAAAGGCTGGAAAATGCTTTCTAGTAAAGCTCAGGTAGTCATTTATAATATGAGGATCCTGTGGGTTTCCCTGCAGGACCATGTGTCAATCTACCAGAAAATAACCACCACAAATGCACTGATTACATATATATATGATATACTCCCTCACAACCCCGAACTGAGCCAATTTGGAACGATGTTAGCTCTGTAACCAGCCACCCATAAGCATGGTGCTGAGCAGCCGATCTTCTACTGCACTAGGAACAGGGGGGCGTTGCCAGAAGTCCCAGCTCCATAGGAGCATCATGCGCAAAATATAGCACCTGAATAAGTAAGTACGTATTCCACGACAATGAGTCCATGGAATCTCTGGTAAGCCAGAAACGCAGGGTCTTGGCTTCTATTTCCACATGCTGCAAAACATTGATGGGCTCTACAGATCTGTCAGTGCATTATGCCTAAAGTCCAGTTAAAATCAGTTGGGTACCATGAAATTAAAATCCGGAAATACAAAGCTATGAGCTATAAAGCAGCACATTACAGCTAAGGCACATGAATGCATGCAAGCCACCGTCTTTCCATTAAGACACTGCTTTCTCCTAACGGATATCCTCTGCTAAGATATACTAATTGCTAAGTAGAGGATGAATCAGCAGATTTTCCCATATAGGTATTATTCAGCACTACGCCTCTTCTCAAACACCAAAAATATGTTGCACATTTATGCTTTAGCAAAAAATAGATATTATATATATATATACACTTTATCGAGCTTGGTCTGAGCGCATGAGGCAGAACTTTAAAAACATACAGGATTCCGTTTAGAACTCCAAAGTTCAACAAATGCCCTATTTTAGGGTGAAAATTATAAATCTGATAATGATGCACAGCATCCATGAGTGATTATTTTTCCTTAATTTTGAAATAGTGTCATTAACTACGACATATATTGTAGGTTTACATTTCTAAAGAGAAATAACAGCAGTAGTTGAATAGTTTCTTTTCATATCACAAGTGATAACCTGTATTTGATCTTTTTTTTTTCTTCCAAGAAATATCAGTCTATCAACAGTTTTAAAATAAAATGTTTTTTTTTCTGTAGCAATTAATAGAACTCTAAACAAAAATATGACTCTGATTTAGACACTTTCAAGAAGATCTGGACAGTCTTGTCAAGGTCTTCTGACAAAGTAATTATTTTAAAACAGAGACCAGGTGAGGCCTTAAAAATAGACAATATACTATATTTTAGACAAGATTGCACTTAGATTTTCAAAGTAATAATATCTTAACTGCAACATTACTTCATAATTTCTTCTTCTTGTTTTGTTTTACTTAACATGCTGACAGTTTCTAGCTAACCCACATATGAACTTCGGCTTTTGTTTTCTAGTCAAAAAGGAAGAAAAGTCTGATGTTTTTGTCTTTTTCCCCTTCCAACTGATTAGATTACCAATATATTAAGAAAAGCTTTTCTGACGTAATCTTTATCCCCATGAAGATCAAGCCAGAACTGAAGTGTTCCTACTAAGTTTTAGTTAGAAAATATACCATGGTATGATTTCTTTAATGGGTTGCTACGGTTTTGCCATTGGACCCTATGCAAGTTATGCCTCCAATCTCTTCCTTCTGTTAACACACAGTGATCCCCTCTGAGCTCTCGGGACCTCTTATTGAAGACAGACTGATATAAAAAAGAGCCCCCAATGGAGTTGTCTTCTGTTGAACTGGCCTCAGTGCTCTACGTCAGGGATCTGGTAGGTCCGATGTATCCACTATGACTTTAATAAAAATAGTATCATCTTTAATATAGGTTCCATTTTCTAGAACAGTCTGAGCAACAAAGACTGGGCAGCCAGAAGCAATATTCATTTCTCCAGTGGGCTTCTTGAAACTACTGCTGTTCGGGTCTGGTTTGAAAGCATCTCCTAAATGACGTCGAGAAGGTCCCTGATCCATCAGCATAAGGGTGACTTTCTGCTTGAACGGCCACGGAAGCAATGCGTCGTATTCCCCCCGCATTATGACAAAGAACAAGGACAGGTGCGTCCCTTTGCCCATCCCGTCACCATTGAGGTAAACTCTGGCGCACATCTTATAGCCAAAGTATCCTGTATAAAAAGGCTGGCTGTACAAGGACAAAGTCTTCCCCATCACTGCCTCTTGCTTCCGACGCTTGTAATCTCGGATTTTCCAGATTAATATTCCATTGTAACTGGCAGTTTCCAGGACTTGAAACCGGAGATCCATGTCGGCTAGTCGGATGTCGTGAACACTCAGCATTTGGTCATGCCTAGACAGCTGCGATTCCAGCAAACCTAGAAGGAAGACAGAAAAAAAACCCAAGATATATTACAAGATATAAAGGCTGCAATCTTAAAGGCACTTTCCTGGGGGAAAGCCCCACTGGCTAAATGGGATTTACTTCTGAGTGCTTAGGAGTGCTCGCAGAGGTTGGTTCCCCTGAGGGCTGCTTTTTTCCTCATGTAAAGAGTGTTGTCAACATGAGGCATATAATACACAAAAGGATAACTCATGGCTCTCTCAGTTTACATACTGTTGCTCATGCAAGATGCCCACAACTGTTCCCTTTATAAGAAGGTGATACCATCTCTCTCTTTCTCTAAATCTTTTCATACATTTGTTCTCATGGATTTAAAGCATCCATCCACCCCACAAGATCAGCTTACTGTGTTTGCCAACATGTGATTATACATAACATCCCAAGAAGACTCCTCACAAGAATCTCTCCTAACTAACACAGGTAAACTTGAATGTCCTTCTCAAACAACAGAAAAATTCACACTGCATCTTCCACTATGGAATCCCTTTGAACTGGTGGGACATAGCCCAACAGAAGGATACAGGTTGGGAATCCAAACCACAGGCCTTTGTAAGCCAGGATTTTGTGGCTTGTGGGGCAAAAATGTTTCTGGTGGGGATGCCATTATTTTTATGTCAGCTCCAATCCGCCCCCAAGCCCAGCTACGGGCGGCCACCCCTCTCCCTCCCCTCCTGCAAGATTTAAAGGGCCTTTCAACTGATCAGTGGGGAGCACGTGCCCTGCCAATCACCTGGAGGGCCCTTTAAATCTTGCAGAAGGGAGGGAGAGGGACGTGTGCCATCCCCTGCTTCTTCTCAAAAGCTTTTAAAGGATCCCTTTAAATGTGTTTGAGAAGAAGTGGGGGGGGGCCTTGCGTGTGCACCCTGATTCTTCTCAATCTCAAAAAATATCTTCTAAAAAATCTTGTGGGGCTGAACCGTTAAGGAAGGGGGTGGAGCCCCCCAACAGCCCCACTTGTAGCTACGGGCCAGCTGAGCCCACAGAGGCAATGCGTGATTTAGATAAGTGTCCCCCTCCAAAGGGTGTACTCATTTCTTCCAGCTCACCCATGGGAAGAAACCGGAAGGGGGAGTCCTCTAGGACCAATTTCTGTTCCAGCTTCTTCATAGGCCTATGACTTGTGAAAGGACCCATTTTCAATACTACTTTTTTTGTCCTGACCTGGATAGCTCACAGCTAACCCAATCTCGGAAGCGAAGTAGGCTCCGCCCTGGGCAGTCATTAGAAGGAAGACCACCAAGGAATACCAGGGTCGTGATGCAATGGCAAACCACCTCTGAACGTCTCTTGCCTTGAAAACCCCGCAGGGTTGCCGTAAGTCATCTGTGATTTGACGGCAACCCCCCCCCCCCTTACCTGGAAAGTATGTAGTTCTCCATCTACCAACACCAGCAATGAGAGGCTTACATGAGCTCTGGATTTATTCATTACTGTTAAGCAATAACTGAGCAGCTCACATAGAGGAAACAATACCAGGGGCACTCGCCAGAATTATCTTAATATGCTAATTTCCCTTTGAACCAAACGACGTTGTGTGAGACACTCAGAAGGGTCCGTGTCATATTGCTAATTTGCGGTTTTATTACTTTGTTCCCTGAATAAGGCGGTGACCCTTTTATTGTACCAAGTCTCACTGTTCTGCTCAGATGAAACATTACTCTGAACTAGACATGAAAGACCGTCAGCCGTACAGTAAAAGTAACCAAAAAAATTGCACAAATGGAGAATATTAAGCAAAAAAAATATATTAAGAACTCTGTTTTTTTTAACTCTCTCTTAGACACAGGCCGCTATTACAGTTTTGTTTTTACTCTATGGAAGGAAAAATCCACAACCTATTTCAGATAAACCAATGCATATACTGGACAAAGCCCTGACCTGGATAGCCCAGGCTAGCACAATCTTGTCAGACCCCAGAAGCTAAGCAGGGTCGGCCCTGGTTAGTATTTGAATGGGAGACCACCAAGGAACTCCAGGGTTGCTACGCAGAGGAAGGCAATGGCACATCATCTTGGAATGTCTCTCGCCTTGAAAACCCTATGGGGATTGTCATAAGTTGGCTGCGACTTGATGGCACTCTCTACCACCACCATTATCGTACTGGACAATAATGAACGCTGGAGGAAATGAACCTCACACAGCCTACAGTTTACTCAATGCAACCCACTAACAGCCAGTCCACATGACAGCCTGCGTAACATCTGGTGTGATCTAATATTTGATTCCACATGGCAGTGTGGGCTGAACTGGCGTGCAGTGATGAAAGAGAGCGAATGAAACATGATAGCAGGCACGCAACTCTTATTCAATTGCTTCATTTACAGCCCACCTTTCCTCTTCAACGGGACCCAGTTTTATCTTATCCTCACAACTACTACGTGGGACTGGCCCCAGGTTATCCAGCAAGCTTTGATGGCAAAGCGGCAATTCAGACCTCGGTTTCCCACACTCTGGTCTGAAACTTTAACCACTATACCACAGTGGCTCTTTCAAGAAGCAACAGAATTTCCCTTGCTGCTGGTTTCAAGGAAAGCATCCTAACAGGAATCTCTACTTCAGAATGCCTAATTCTGTCCGTTCACAGAGCCTGCCGAGTGAGTACTCTACTGCATTGATGGGGTCCGAACTGGCAGAGACTGACCAAGAGAGAGATCTTGGAGTCGTAGTAGATAACTCACTGACAATGTCGAGACAGTGTGCGACTGCAAGGCCAACACTATGCTGGGGATTATTGGGAAGGAAATTGAAAACAAATCAGCCAGTATCATAACGCCCCTGTATAAATCGATGGTGCGACCTCATTTGGAGTACTGTGTACAGTTCTGGTCACCACACCTCAAAAAGGATATGATAGCATTGGAAAAAGTGCAGAAAAGGGCAACCAGATTGATAAAAGGGTTGGAACACTTTCCCTATGAAGAAAGGTTAAAACGCTTGGGGCTCTTTAGCTTGGAGAAATGACGGCTGAGGGGTGACATGATTGAGGTTTATAAGATTATGCATGGGAAAGAGCAGGTAGAGAGAGAGGTACTTTTCTCCCTTTCTCACAATACAAGAACTCGTGGGCACTCCATGAAATTGCTGAGCGGTCGGGTTAGAACAGATAAAAGGAAGTACTTCTTCACCCAAAGAGTGATTAACACATGGAATTCACTGCCACAGTAGGTGGTGGCGGCTACAAGCATGGACGGCTTCAAAAGGGAATTAGATAAACATATGGAGCAGAGGTCCATTAGTGGCTATCGGCCACAAGGTATAGATAGGACCTCTCAGGCTGGGGCAAGGGATGCTCTGTATTCTTGGTGCTGGGGGGGGGGCAAGAGTGGGAGGGCTTCTAGTGCCCTGGCCCCACTGCTGGACCTCCTGATGGCACCCGCTATTTTTGGCCCCTGTGTGACAGAGTGTTGGACTGGATGGGCCATTGGCCTGATCCAACATTGGCTTCTCTTATGTTTTTATGTAACTTACCCGTATTTCTAGCTCCTTGCCCAGTAGTCTTATCAACACTTTCCAGCTCAGTCACTCTGTTCTGGAGGGACTCCACGCTACTCTTCATACTATCTGCTTCTTCCCAATTCTGTCGGAAGGGACGGATCTCTTTGTCCAGTTCTTTCAGCTTGTCGGCTTGGCTATCTATCACCCGCTTTGTGAAAACAGCATATTATTTTTTTTTAATCACCAAGAAAGTAAAAGACATGGAAAGCTGGGCTTTTAAAGAACAGACTTTAAAGCTGGACTTTAAAAAAAATATAAGCAGTTAATACACATAAAATCAACCCAACTAGTGCCAAACAACTGTTTAACCATACAGTAAGACTTTGTATAAGCATAACATCCTCAAGAAAATTGAATCATTATGTTCTGCCCTGGCCACACCTCTGCAATCTGATGCACAGGTCTGAGTATGTTCAGCCTCCATATTGCAGAGGCAGCAAACCTCTGAACACCAGGTCTGGTAGGCGGCGGCAGCAGGGGGCCGCTTCAGCCTCTATGCCCTGTTTGCTTGGCCCTCCAGGGCAACTAGTGGGCTACTGTGTGAAACAGGATGCTGGACCAGATGGGAGTGCTGGCCCGATCCAGAAGGCTCTACTTATGTTCTTAACTCTAGCCATCTATTCCACACGGCTGAGGCAGAAAATTTACAGCAACATTTACACAGCGCAAAGCAAATCTTAAATTCTACTTTCACCAGCCCCACAGGGGTGGGGCAGAGAAAAGAAAGAGAAGAGAAGCACAATGCTATACACTTGCCGTGCAGTTGGAGGGGGGGGGGGAACCCATACTCATGACCACAGGGCTTATTCTACATCTTCCTCCCTCCTGCCTCTTTTTCCATCTCTGTATAATGCCATCGCACCATGCAACAACACAAGATTAAATTTTTGCCAGAGGTGGGCCAGCGGAAGCAGCTCTGCAACTTTCAGCAGGCAACCGTCTCAGCGTTAGTTATGTAACAAGCAGCAGGGGAGACCTTTGTGTCCAAAATGGCTGGAGTCTGGAGGCATGGCCCTGCCGGTAGCGGTATACCATGGGAGTGCATCTCACTGCTGCGTTTGAGAAACTCCTCCCACACTTTCTGATTGGATGGTCCTATAATGTTGCAGAGGCAATGGAGGTAACGAAGTGCAAAGGTCAGAAACCACCAGTATCAGCTAGTGTGTACCACTTCAGGTTGCCAACTTCCGGGTGGTACCTGGAGACCTCCCACTATTACAAGGGATCTCCAGATGACCAAGATCAGTTCCCCTGGGGGGAAAAGTGGCTGGTCTGGGACTGTATGGCATTATACACCCTGCTGAGCTCCCCTTTCCTCCCAAGATCCTGCCCTCCCCAGGCTCTAGCACCCCCACCCCCCAAAAAAAATCTCCAGGAATTTTCCAACCCAGAGCTGGCAACCCTAGTACCACCGGTCACAATGCTGTTTGTGTCCCTGTAAGTTCTTTTGGGGGGGAAAAACAGATTTTTTAAAAAACGGAATCATGGTTTTAAGAGACAACCATCTGCACCCATTTGAATGCAACACAAAACACTCTGAATTGTCCCACACCATTTGGAAGAGCAGGAATTTTAGCCAGAAGCGATCACGACCATATGATTTAAGTTACACTAAGTGCTGTAATACTTGCTACCATAACAGCAAGTGTTATAATTCAAAACCAACTTAGCCATTTTGTATAGAATCTCAGCTTCAGACGCTATCTTCCATTTGAGCGAAATGTGAATCTGAATTGCAGACCAGAGAAGAGAGAGGAGCACAATTACTGCATTAGGGAACGCTTCTCACGGCAGCCATAGGACCATGGGGAAAATTTTAAGCGATATGAATACTGACAATAAAGCCCGTCTCCTTCCACAAACTGTAGACCTGAAACTACAAACGGGGTCGGATCCACTGATAAGACTGCAGAAAGAGTTGGCGTAGAGGATCTTTCCCCTTTTACCCAGCGCGTCACTTCCTGTGATGTGCTGGCGGCGCGCGCGCACGCATCACCGGAGAGCTCCCGGAGCCCAGAGAGGCTCCCCTGCTGCCAAGGTAAGTAGACTTGGCAACCCTACTCTAGGCTGATCCTGTATGGAGCAGGGGTGGGAATCCAACTCTGTGATTCTATGATTCTGTAGCCCAGGCTAGCCTGATCTCATCAGATCTCAGAAGCTACGTAGGGATGGCCCCAGCCAGTATTTGGATGGGAGACCTCCAGAGAATACCAAGGTCATGACATGGAGGCAAGCAACGGCAAACCAACTCTGAATGTCATTTGCCTTGAAAACCCTACCGGATCACTGTGACTTGACGGCACTTTCCACTGTAACAATGCGGAGAACACAATGGATCGAACTCTCCGTGTCTAGTAAAACTGAACTCATTTTTAAAAAGAAACCAAAGCTTGCATGCCAATGTAATTGTTAGTGAAAATAATTCTAGAAGCGGCAGAAAACAGAAATACAGAAGACCCCTTAGGAAAATGCCTTTCTCATACTGCCTAGCAAAAGATACTATGCCCTACGGGATCCTTAAAAATGTACATTGTTCCAACAGTCCTTTGTTTTATCAATGGATTTTCAGGGTTGGGAGGGGGCTGCCAGATGTCTGATTGCCAGAATTTATCAAGCAAGCACAGATAGGAAGGATATAAACGTTTCTACTAGAAATCTCCCTTTTACTGTCCCAGGTCCTGCCTTTTATTAGAAAAAAATGGACTGATAGGGGAAAAAATTATCAAACTGCCTTTGCACTTGGGCTAATATCCAAACTGGACACAGCAATGCATGACTGGCTATAACACGGCCATGGGGGGGAAAGGCACTACTTGGAGGTTACTGTTCCTCATGGAAAGAAAGGAAAACCTGAACCAAGCACTGAGATTTTAATTAGACGGAAGAAAGACACAGGGATACTGCACATCCTGTCTCTCCCCTTATGACTGCCTTTAGCAGCTATGGTCATCATCCTCTCATGGCCAACTGGTGGTGCTGGGCCCTCAGGTCACGTCTGGCATCCCCCAGGGTGAGGGCTTTTTCAATCATAGTCCCATCATGGTGGAAATGCCCTCTCAGATGAGACCAGGGCCCTGTGGGACCTCCCTCGCTTCCACAGGGCCTGGCTTAGCTTCTCTGTCAGGTCTTTCCTGGTTGAGCTTATTTCTGGAGCTTAATGTTGGATCCACCATTATTAGTTGTGAGCAGTGTTCCCTTCAAGCTGAGTTAGTGTGAGCCAGCTCACAATTTTTTAGCCTCCAACTCACACATTTTTGTCTTAGCTCAGGAAGGACGACTCCAGAGCAAACTAATTTATGCAGTAGCCAAATCACTTGCTTGCAACTTTAATGCTGGTAGCTCACAAAGTAGAATTTCTGCTCACAGGACTCCACAGCTTAGAGGGAGCATTGGTTGTGAGTGGTTTGGGCTTTTTATACTTTGTATTTTTATACTGTTTTAACCAGGGGTCATTTCGTAGAAAAAGAGCAAGGGGGACTCATTAGCATAACTCATTAGCATATGCCACACCCCCTGACATCACCGGAAGTGTGTCCTCCCCACAGCCGGCGGCGACCTCCAGCGGGCACCAGCAGGGAGCTCCAGGCCCCGCCTTCCTGCACCTCACCCGGGGGGATGGCGTCCCCCCGCGTCCCCCCCCCAAATGACCCCTGGTTTTAACCATATTTATTATGTTTGTTCTATATTGTTGCGAACCACTCTGAGCCCCACTTCGTGGGGGAGGGGTGGTATATAAATTGAACTAATAAATATATATCCCACGGGACACCCTGGCAGGAATTAGGAAACTCCTTAAAAGTACTAACAGGACAATTAACACTGAGTTAACATTACTTAACAAGAAAGTGACGGTATCTGAAGCTTCTGCTATTGGGGGGGGGGGAGTTTTTGTATTTTTCATATGTGCATGTGTGTGCGTGCACCGGGAAGTCATGGTGTCTTCTAGTGATTGACCCCTACTGGGGGGGGCCTGGGGGATATTCAGAGAAGTGACTGAATAAAGCCTGCCCCTGCCTCCCGACTGCCGTTATTCCAAGGAGGTCTCCCATCCAAGTACTTGCCAGAGTCGACCCCACTCAGCTTCCGAGATCTGACATGATCGGGCTTGCCTGGGCTGTCCAGGTCAGGGCCGAAGCTTCTGCTATTGAGTAGCAAACATCAATTCCCACACCTATACAAAAATAACCTAATGGCATAAGAATGGGATGTTTTTGCATGTGCACTGGCAGAAAGCCTTAGGGGAAAAACAACGGTCAGGTTATGTTTACCAAAACTGGGAAATCCTGCCAATGCAAGTTAATTTGCATCACAAGCTCCAACCCTAGTTCGAACTATTAGATCGGTAAAGCTTTTGGGGGAGCAAGAAGGATGGGTTCCCCCCCCCCCCAGGGGGATGCATTTATATACAATCACTGAACACTAACCCCCCCAAACCTTTAACTCATCTGAACCAGAACAGAGAGGGCTCACAAATCATCATCACTTAGCCCCTAGCAGCCTTCCCAGGGTATATGGGAAACTCTGGCCAAAGATTAATGGATTGGATCCACCAGAGTGCTGTGGACAGATATCTATCAAGCATTAATTTCTCGCCTCTGCCCCACCAGTGTGGCCAAAATCCCCCCTCCCTAGTTCTGCTCCTGTGGGGCAGGGGACTACTCTGGCGGAACCAAGCCAATCTAAAAAGGAAAACTATCACTGCTCATGAAAAAAATTCTTTATAGGGACAGCCAGTGTTCCCTCTAAGCTGAGTTGGTGTGAGCTAGCTCACAGTTTTTTAGCCTCCGGCTCACACATTTTTGTCTTCGCTCAGGAAGGATGGCTCCAGAGCAAACTAATTTATGCAGGAGCCAAATCACTTGCTCACAATTTTAATGCCAGTAGCTCACAAAGTAGAATTTTTTGCTCACAAGACTCACCGCTTAAGGGGGGGGGAGGGCACAGCTCACATGTCACAGCCAAACCTTGGCTTGGTTGTTTCTGGCTCAAGCTCAAACACCCTGGCCTCCCCCTCACCCACATAGATTTCCTCGCTCCTAGCTTCTTCACTGATCACAGTCTGCCATTCTGTGCGAGCTGGAAAAGCTACTGTTTGCTTAGAAACCAAAATGACTAACCACGGTTTGATGGTGGCATGCAAATCTTGCTTCCAGGCATGTCTTCTCTCCTTCAGCTACGACCCTCTCCATCATCAGAAGACAAAGCAGAAGCATCACAGATCCAACCCATTATGATTCGAGGTTCTGTTGGATGTTTGCTTTTCTTAAATGGTTTCAAACATATTGTATTTTCTTTAGACTATACATACAGTGCCCTGACCTGGATCACCTAGGCTAGCCCACTATCAGAAGCTAAGCAGGGTCAGCCCTGGCCAGTATTTGGATGGGAGACATCCAAGGAATACCAGGGTCGTGATGCAGAGGCAGGCAATGGCAAACCACCTCTGAATATGTCTTGCCTTGAAAATCCCACAAGATCACCATAAGTCAGCTGTGACTTGACAGCACTTTCCCCCACCAGGCATAAAGTGCAATCCTATTAAGAGCTAGTCTGAGCCCACTGAATTCATAGAATCTCACTGTGACTTACTCCTTGATTTTTATCTTGGAAGAGGTTCTGTAAAAGATTTTATCCACTAAGACCTCTCGACTCCAATGAGTCATGTAAAAAGTGCACTAAAAAGTACCAGCTTTGCAGAACTGACTCTAGCACAGCTGAGGATAATTCTGTTCTGCGTAATTACAATATCTGAACATTCGGAAGGAGCTCCACATTCTTACGTATTTTCAAGTAAATGCTCAATTGCTTTCTGTTTCAGCATTTGACCTCTACAGATTGCTGACCTTCTTTGCAATACCTAACTTGAACTAAGCCCACCCTTCCAAAAATTCGTTTAAAAAAAAATGTTGCAGGGAGAAACTCAATTGGAATAATTCATTTAATGCTCCAGCCATGCCTATGAAAACTCCCAAAACAATCTGACTAAAAAGACTTTTAAATCAATTGTATTAGGGGAAGGAGACACTTGAAAATTATGTCAAACGTGGGTCATTTCAGACACATTAGTCCCAACCTTCTAAACATGGAAACACACTGCGGGCTTCTGCTTTTTACTTCTCCCCCGCAGGTTTGCCATTCCATGAAGAATAATATAATTTGTGGTCTCTCACCAGGAGACAACAAACATTATCGGAGAGGTGCATCTCTGGTTCCAAAGGATGGTGAGATGAAAAGTCATGGATAGTGCACAGGTAAGAACAGAAGAAGAGCTCTTCCAGGCCAGACCAAGAGTCCATCTGTCCAGCATCTGGTTTCCCACTGTGACCAACCGGATGCTTCCAAGTAAGACCCAAAGCTATTGGGTTTCCCCTGTGGCCACCCATTTGTGAACAATGACATCCAAGCACCCACTGGAAGATTCCCCCCATATTATATATCGTTTCATTATTGTCCTGACAAATTCCTATGGTGACACTTGGGTGGCTTGTGTAGCCTGGCCATTCCTGAGAACAGAAATGCTGGATTAGAAAATGGAACCAAATTTCAAAATTCTTTCCCTCTCACGAGTCAAAGCCTGCCTATAATTCCCAAACGTTTATACATTATACAGACCTTCCATGGACTTTTTGTTTTTTTTTTAATTGAAATGCAATTTTTCAGGTGACAAGCTCAAAACATTTGTATTGTCTCGGTTCAGATATTTTAACTCTGGTTAGATTGAGAAAGTAGGATTTGGCTGGAAGATGATAATTCAACTTGGTTTGCCTTTGTTGTTTCCCCTACCTGGTCTGCAGAGACCCAGCAGAAATCCTGACTGTACTGCAACGAGGATGGCATAGGGGGAAAAGACAGGATGAGGCCAAGATGTCCATGTTCATTTGTCACGTGAAAGTCATAACTAAGAGTAACTGTGGCATCATACCCTGGTTTGCAATACCCTATTCAACCATACTTAGTGGAGTGACCTGCATCTGCAGAATCACACTAACCATAGTTAGGCCCCTGCCACACGGGCAGGAAACTGCAGAAGAGAAGTGTGGCTGTTTGCCCCGGGGCAAACTAACATGCAGTAAAGCGATCAGACCTACTGTGGAGGTTCTGTGGAGGTACTGTGGAGCTTCCGTGGGTAGGGAGAGGTATCGATCACAACACACGCCTGCGCGCAATGAAGAAGCGCACGGCGCGGCGAACTGGTTTTCTTTTTTTGTGTACACTACGAATGCGCATGCTCCGTTGGGTGCGTGTGCGCATCCACGGAGACTTGGGGGGAAAAAAACCCTTTTCCGCAAGGGGACATGGGCGGGCGCCGGATGCCACCGGAAACGCGATCAGACGCCCGCCCTTGCCCCGCAGTTTCTGGAAACTAGTACCTCCAAGGTACTAGTTTTTTGCTGCGCTTTTTCGGCAGGAAGCCTCAGTTGTGCCACGGAAGCGCTACGCTTCCCAGATGTGCTGGTGAGATCGCGACCGGAAACTCCGCTTGTCTTCCGTATCTCTTGCGTGGCTAATGTTGCGTGTGACCGCAGCCTTAGTTTAATTAAACCGTAGTTGAGCGTAACATTTGAACCAAGTCATTATGTCTGTCCCCTCCCATTAATAATGCAGCATGTCCCTGCACAGGCACAGAACCCACCATCACAAAAGAAGAAAGGGGATGTAACCACTGATATGTGCCACAGAGGTATTTGTAAACTGGGGTCCCCAACCTGTTTGAACCTGCGGGCACCTCTGGAATTGTGGCACAGTGCTGCGGGTGGAGGCAGCCACAAAATGGCTGCCACAACTTACCTTCAGTCACACAGTCAATACCCTTGTGCTGTGGGGGCAGCTGCCGCCAAAGCAACATTTTTAACTATCTGCCCAGCCAGTCAAATCTCCAATGGCCAATCAGACGTTTTGTGCGGCAAAAGCTCCACCTGGCCCCATCCATTTTCTGGTGGCCGCCGGGAACTGTGTCTGCAAGTGCAATGGTGCCCACGGGCACCACATTGGGGACCCCTGTTTTAAATAAATCAATACACCTAAATATGCAAATAAAATGGCAAAGCAGGAAACACTCTTGCAATGGGGAAGAGTCTTAAGATCTTACCTGTAAGTGATGTATTTTAGATTCATTACTTCGTAGCATTTCCTTTTGTCTCTCAATTTCTATTTCAAAGGTACAAATTTGATTATGTAAAGTTTGTATACTTTTGTTCTTTTCCAAACTTTCATTCTGGAGCATGGCCACCTGGAAAAAATTCTACAATTACTCCTGCCAAACTTTACCAAAAACATAAAAAAGCCCAAAAAGGTATGTGCTGTCTCTCACAAGCAACGGGAGAGAGATCCTATAAAAAGTCATTCTTCCTTCTGTGTAGTATATTTACCCTGTACTCCCTCAAAGTAGCAAACCTAATGGCTTTCTCCTCTCTTAGAATTAAACGGGAAAAGATTACCCAATCTGTAAAAAATATCTTGCTTCTAAACACGTTGCACTTTGTTCATTTGCTCACAAAAGAGAAACCTATTGAATTTCAGAAAGGAGGATGGAAAAACCCTGTTGTTCAGCACCAATCCATGCTGTTCATACAAAACATCTGTAATAAACAGGCTAGCAGAAAGCCTTATTATTTGGGATGTGCACGAACTGGTCCACAAGCCAAAAACTGGCATGAACTTGGCCCAGTTCGGAGCCCCTGAACCAATGTTCAGGAAAGCTCCTTTCCCCGAACATTTATCGGACATTTGTACAGTTCCGCTGTTTGGGCCATTTAAACCTAACAGCTGAGCAGCACAGGTCTGCAGCTAACCTGTTAAGTTTAAATGGCTGCGAGCCATTTCACCAATCAGTTTTGCTTCCCCCTGCTTTGAAGCAGGGGAAGTGAAACAGACTTATGAAATGGCTGCCAGCCATTTCTTCCTAACAGCTGACAGGTGCACCTGCCCTGCTGTTAGGCTGAAATGGCCATGAGCCATTTCACTGGTTGGTTCCAAATCCCCCCGCTTAAAAATCAACCAGTGAAATGGCTCGCAGCCATTTAAACCTAACAGCGGAGCAGGCCCGCCCATCAGCTGTAAGGTTTAAATGGCTGCGAACCATTAAACCCATCCGTTTTGCTCCTCCAGCTTCAAAGCGAAATGGATGGGTTAAATGGCTTCCCAGGCTATCCCCTCTTTCTCCCGGCCACAGTAAACCATGGCTGGGAGAAAGGGGGATCCGAACTGGCTGCTTTGCAGCATTTTTGGCTCAGTTTGGGGGTGGACCCAAACCCTAACCTAACCGGAATTTTTAGGTTCTTGCCCATCCCTTTTTATTATCCAAGACACTGAAAGATTAAAAAGCACACTGAGGGCTGTTTCTACAGTCAAGGCTAAAGCTGTCACAAAGTACGATATTTGAGCGTGACTGCAGTAAAGGAAGGAAGCCAAAAACAGCCAGTAACGATTGCAGTAGATTAAAGCAGCGGACTCAAGAAACAATATGAAAGAGGAGGAGAAATGTATTGCTAATATCCTCTAAGAAAAATAAGAAATGTTGTCCTTCATTCGCCTACAAGACTGAGGCCATGAAGAATTACTAACTAGCATGTTTTATTCGCTGCAAGGATCTTTATACTCTGTTCATCAATGCTTTTGTTCCTTAAACGTCTCACATCTGGAACACTGTCCTCTTGACCCTAGCAAAATGCATGCTTTACAATCATCGTTCATCAGTAAGACAATGAAGATAACAGCTTGAGAGGATGTTTCGCATAGCTGAAATATTACGACAGGCTGCCAAGCAGCACCAGTGGTGGTCAATCCAGAAAAAAAAGGAACAATGTCTCAAAATACACTAAGAATCCAATTTTAGAACATCGGGTGAGAGGATCAAACCCTCTCTTTGTCTTCACGCCATTCTCATCACCCTCCCAAAGTAACGTGGCTTCCTTCTCCCTACTCCCCCAAACTACAGTTGATTCACAATATGTTAAAACCTATAGTTGAAGAAAGACAGTGGAACTAGTAGTGCTGTTTTTAAAGGCTCAGAAACACTAGGACGATGGGGTGCCCACATTTCTACAAGACACCAAAGCTAGAACAAGACAATTTAAGCTCATATTTTCGGGCCAGAATTAGGCAGAACAAGCAATTCTCGAGAAACGTTTGCCATACGTGGAAAATACTGCACCAAAGCTGAACTCTCCCTCTGCTTCTTAGCATGGTTTCTATACAAAAGAATTTGAACGTGCACGCCAAAATCTTCTGAGGTGTCACTAGAAGTTCTGGGGCATACCCATATAGCCTGATGAAGGGTCAATATTAAAAACCTAATCTAAATTTATTATATGCAAAAATACATGTATTTATTAGAAAGACAGTTAAAAACAAATAATGGCCCAATGAAAGCCTCGTTACAAAGTGCAAATGACCTGAACACAAGGGCCAATACAAGTGACCTGAGGTGTTTCCGCCCCTTGGAGGGCCTTCTTCAGAGGTCAAACAGTTTGAGTTACAGTGTTACATATTACAACGAAATAAGCAATAGGTTAATACTGGACCAAAAAAGGAAAGCTGTAGAAAAAAGAAAACTGAATATGAATAATCAAATAATAAATAGGGGCTACTTCTCCAGAGTAGTGAAACAAGATTTTTATAAGGCAAAGAACATAAACAGATCATCCCTTTTGGTGCCGAAAACTAGACAAGGTCATTTTGATAGAATTATTATTCCATTGACATACGATGGGAGATCATCTCAAGTAAACAACATTATCAGAAAACATTGGCACCTACTTGTCAGCATTCCAAGATGTGAGGCAGCTCCCCTCTTTACATTACATTAGGTTTTTAATACTGGCCCTTCATCAGGCTTTTTCCTTACCCTTGTAGTTCTTGATACCAGTTTTGGGGTCAAGTTTCTTTCCCCCTCCCTGTGTCTTACACCCATATAGCCACCACATGTAACCCCAGCATAGGGTGGCAAGAAAAATTCAAAATTTGGCTAACTGTGGCCCACTATGATAGGAGCTATGTTTGCATCAAGGTAATAAAGCTGTATTACAAACTTATTCTTTCTGTATCCGTTTCCTAACTTCTAACCCTATCTCCAAATAATCTTGGGAACTGTAGTTTGGTAAGTGTACTAAGATACCCCACTGGTGGACCTCCTGATGGCACCTGGTATTTTTGGCCACTGTGTGACAGTGTGTTGGACTGGATGGGCCTTTGGCCTGATCCAACATTGGCGTTTCTTATGTTCTTATGTACCCTGTTGTGCATACAGAACGACAGTTCCCAGATTTTCTTGGGGAGAGGGAATGACTGCTAAATCAGTTCATTTCTGTAAGCAATCCAAAGCCTTTTGGTCAAACAACCAATAGAGATTTCTACTATTTTTCTGGGGTTATTAGCTTAAGTAGATTTTGATCAGAGATCATCATGTTTTTATCATCCCTTTCCAGACATACAATGCACAACTGCTAACCCTAGAAACTGACAATATTCTTGGATTTCCACTGAGGCAGTTCATTTGTGATACCTGGAAGAGATCAGAAAGGCAAGAAGTACTCAATTCAAGGCAATCTTAATTCAAGAGGCTGCTTCTGACTTAGAAAGTCCTTCATGAGCTGGTACCCTGGAAAGATCACCTCTTAGATGCTCAGAACAGTTTCTCCTCCATGTCCTCTCCTTAACAGGTCTAAACCTCTTCAGTTACTCAATTTTTCTGTTGTGGTTCCAGTTCTCGGGAACAGACTTTGTTTTTTGCTCTCTTACGAGAGGCAACACAAGACTGCCCTTTTGGTTTGTTTTTTTTTTTTTTTTGTTTCTCTGTTGCAACTGCATTTTTATCATCCTTGAATAAAGAGAAGCTGTGGCAATTTCTAAGTTGTTGTGATTTATGAAAATGTATTCTAATCCAACATAATTTGGTATCCACCTTGAACATACAGAGAGGACGGATATAAAGTTTTACATAAATAAACTGGGTGAGTGGGCGACAGTGTGGCAAATGAAGTTCAATGCTGGTAAGTGTCAGGTGATGCACACTGGGACAAAAAAATCCCAACTTCAAGTATAGACTAATGGGAGCTGAACTTGCTGAGAGTGCGGGGGGAAAGATCTTGGGGTTGTAGTGGACAGCTCAATGAAAGTGTCAACCCAGTCTTCTGCAGCAGTGAAAAGGGCAAACTGCATATTAGGGATTAGGAAAGGGACTGAGAATAAAACATCTGATATTGTAATGCCCCTGAATAGGAGGAGGAGATTGGATTTATACCCCGCCCTTCACTACCCAAGGGTCCTAAGAATCTTTTGGCATGAAGTTGTTTTGCTGTAATCGTAAAAAAGTCTGGCAGCAATAATGTGGACTATTGTTAGAAAGTAGCTACCAAGGAGAAAATGAATCAATTTATGCCTCAAACCAGCATCACACCTCTTTCAACAAACCTCTCTGAGAAGAACAAAGTCTATTTTGAAAAACTAAAATGGGAAAAAATAGGGCCACGTGAGGCCCATTCTCTCTTCCAAGATCACAAACTGTGGGTTTTTTGTTTTTGTTTTAAAATCCAGTTATCAACGCAGCTTCTAATCGTGCAGAATTTTTCATACTTGCTTCTCTTTATGACAAATTTTAAAAAAATCTTCCTTGGCTGATTATACATGCCAAAAGATACACAGGAAGGTAATCAGTGAATAAAAGCCTTTTCCAAGGATACATGAAAATTAAAAAATAATACACCAAAGCTAAAAAAATTTCAGGTGGCAGGGCAAGGGATCTGGAGGAATTGAGCTAATTATGAGATGCACTGGGAGGAGCACATTAAACACATTCAGCTGCAAGCCATTATTTTATATTGTAAATTGCTTGGAAATGGTTGGCAGGTAGACAGCGTGCTGGATCATAAGGATATAACCTGCTAATAGAAGAGCTTTCCCCCGCCTGAGGAATCTTTCCCGAGTGCAAAAGGGTGCATCAGCAGAAGAGATCCATGGGATCCAACCCAATATAAAAAGGATATCATTACCTAAATAAATCATTGTTTTTGAAAACTGAATGGGTAGTGTAGTCATAATTTCCCAGAGCTGTAACCCTGCTATATGAATAAAATATAAAGTAATGAAAGATAAGGTGAGTAGGAAAGGTACCTTATTTTCTAGACAATTACTCCACTCTTTCAATAAGTCTACATGCTGCACTGCAGAGGTGGCTTCATGTGCTTTAACTTGCTGATTTGTTCCCTGTGACAAAGAATATATATATATTAGCCAACTTCATTTCTTTACCAAGTCTCCATAAATATACTACCCCACATCACACACCCCCATAACACAATAATGTAAATTTGAGCGGCTGATTCATTTTTAGACATATTCTTATAAGGACCCTTCTTTTTAAAGTATTTTAAAAAGATATTCCCAATGAACTTTCCAATAGGATGGGTTGTGCTGAAAATTCGTCCTACGTTTCGTCAGGAAGCAACTACTGTACACGGACACATGTTAAAGGGGGGGAGGGATCAATTTGGTTTAAAACCATTTATTTAACCAACCAAAGAACACACACTTCGGAAAACACCTTCACACAGCAAAAGCTCAATCCACCAGACCCTGCTCTGTAACAAAATCTTGTGTGTTTCAAAAGCCCGAGACCCTGAACATTTAAATCCATGTACTGCAAACAGTGGAAAGAATTCTGCTTTGCCACTGTGCATCATATATTTCTTGAGAGAACTAGTCGCTTCATCTAGCCCCCCTCCTTTACTAAATCTTAGGTCCACTTCACCCTAGCTCTTCTTCCCACCCACTCCCTGCCCCTGGGTTCCAGCACTGCTCTTCTCTACTGCAGTCATATTGTTTCCATCTCCTGCAACTCAGGATCTGGGAGTTTTTGAGAAAGGTCTCAGTCCCAGCAGTGGAAGGATACCAGATGCAGGACTGTTTTACATCCTCAGAACAGGTTCACAGATTGGAAGGGGCTAAAAACCTCCCCCCAACCACTTGCATAAGGTGTGTGTTAAAAAGTGTTGGCACTTTTCTTGGTTGCCTTCTAACCTTGAACAGCTAATTGTTCCTTATGGTTAAAAGGGAGCTGCAGAGATTAAAAGTTCACTGTAGAAGAGGAGAGAGGGAGAATGGCTTGTCTGGAGAACATTTTGCTCTTTAAAGGCAACCAGGTGTCTGCAACACCAGCTTCAGAAGCAGCAAAATGTATTAAAGATGAAAAAAGCAATAACATCTACAAGTGTATTTGCAAGTAATTATATTTCAAAGTACCATGCTGAATTCACTTGTTTTTCCTACTACATTCAGGCATTGTCCTGTGGAAAAGACGAATGAATGAGAGGACTGTAAATTGGAAACATTCATCTCTCTCAAGCCAAGAGGATAGTAGTCAAGTTCTGCTGCTGCTAGCAGCCCCTTCTGAAGTCCTTTCCCAAAGGCCCTGCTTGACTTAGAGAACTCATCTCACAGAAACAGGACTTGGTGGATTGTTCCTTTAAACTTTTAGGGAATCAAAATAGTGTTCAAAACACTTAGCTAGACTTGAGTCCAGTAGCACCTCAGAAACTAACAAGATTTTCGGGGTATAAGCTTTCAAACGTCACACTCCCTTCTCCAGGTATCTGAAAAAGGAAGCTTTGGCTCTTGAAAGGTCATCCGCCGAAAATCTTTATGGTCTCTAAGGTGCTACTGGATTCAAATCTAGCTCTTCTGCTGCAGACCAACATGGCTACACTCTGAAACTATCGACATGATATTTTAATAAATGTAATTTCCACCACCACTCCGTGAACAGAAAACAAAAATATTAGAATTGAATTTGTTGTTCAGTCGCACAGTCGAGTCTGACTCTTTGCGACCCCATGGACCAGATCACGCCAGGCCCTCCTGTCTTACGCTGTCCTCTGAATGGCGGCCTTAGGACTGACCAATGAGCCATCAGGAAGGCCACAAATTATGCAGTCGAGTTTCCCGCATTTGGGGAAATCGCAGGGGTCAGCACACCCGGAGTGCAATGGATGAGCCTCGTCCTGGGAAAACCTCCTTCGTGATCAAGGTGTCTCCCCTGCCAGGTAAGAATTGATCACCCTTAAAAAACGCACCATTACTTTAAACAGAGAGCAGAATTTTTCCATTTTAGAAAGTTTGCAAACCACTTTTACTTAACATTCGGAATTTTTGCCATCCTAGCACTAACTATACACATCGATATAACTACTGCATGGTTACACACGAAACATAAGCAATATGTATGGAAGACGAAGACCACAGTATAACTCATTTCATTCACACTACTTTTAGAGTATTTACCTTTTCTTAAATTTTCAACCTAAATCGCAAAATGTTCTTATGATATTCAATAGATATGTTCTGATTAACGCTTTCAGGTTAAATCTACAGATAGATAGACATACACACACGTACAGATACATAAATAATGAACAGTGATGGGACAAAAGCAAGCAGAGCTACAAGACGAAACTATTTCTAAGAGTGAGAGCAACTGTGTTTGTGTACAAAATGTTGAATGCTTTTTGTTCATCATTAAACAAGTTTTCAGTATCATATCCACAGCTCCCCAGAGGAAGATAGTTTGTTTCTCCTGCTACTCTTCACTGAACAAACTTATGGCTCAGTGATAGAGAACATGTTTTGCACGCTCAAGGCCCCCAAGCTCCATCCCTGGCATTAAAAGAACTCAGCAGGTGATGGAAAACACCTTTCCCTGCCTGAAACCCTAGAGAGCAAAGAATGCTGAACTAGACGGACCAGTGGACCAAACCAATATATGGTAGCTTGATAAATGCAACTAAAGTCAACCATCATGCCTTCCTCTAACCCCAGCAATGAACAGGGGGTATTGAAGTTCTACGAGGGACTTGAAGATCACTAGCAGAGCCTCCTGCTCAAAAAGTCTTGCAAAAATTACTGATGGAGGGAGAATTAAAAGGCTCATCTTTGCACAGATTACAAATAGAAGCCAACAAAAGTGGCAAACCACAAGCTTGAACATCAGATGCGTTTTTTAATGGCACTGCCTCGGCATGAACCTGCTGGAAAGGATCAAACAGTGTACATTGTTCCGTTTGTATGATCTACTGATCATACAAACTCTCAACATAATAATCTTGCTAGATTATGACAGCCATTTTAGATATGCAATGTGAGAAAAGGTGATACGTCACGTAAGAAAACTGAGAGAAAACCTGTGTGCTACCTTCTGCTGTGCTTATTCTCATTGGTTTCATTTTCACTTTCCAGGAGTTACAATTAATCTGAGTGCAGAAGTTGCATAGGAGACTGCAGGTGCCACTACTGAGAAGGCTTTGATAGCCGTAACTATTCAGTCTACTTCGGATGGCCTGAGGAACATGACCAAAGTTTTGGATGATGCCCTTGTCGAATTGGTAGGATCATATGAGAGAATTTGGTCCTTCTGATTCTTCTATCCCACATGGTTCTGAGAACTTTAAAGGTTTATTAAAAAAAAAAAACCAGCTAGGAGGTCGGTAGGGTTTGGGAATTTTCATTACGGGGAAAAAACTGTTCCATAAAAACAGCAGAATGTGATCTTGAACCACTTTCTCAAGGGGCGGGAGGGGGAATAAACCTTAAGTGCCTCTCCTGTTCAAAATTCGATAAATTCTTTATATAAGGAGACACGATACTGAAATCCCGACACATCATTCTTCTTGCACATGTGCTTGTTACACATTTTAAGGTAGGCAAAAACACATCCGATGCGTAGCTTTTGATCACTCAAGCGACTGGATGCATTTCTCTTAACAGATAACAAGAGGCATTCATCCAGAGAGGTACCAAAATATTAAGCTTTCTTATTGTAGACTTTCATCAAGTATATAATCAATATATACTGACCTGAAAAGTGCAGCCATAACGCTTAAAACTACAGGTACTTGGGGCATTAATACATTCTGACAAATGTGCATTCAACTGTAACGGGAAAAAAATGTGAGTTTGTTTTTTTGACGGAAAATGTATGCACAATAAAGTTTCAAATATATATATATATATATATAGGGCACGCAATACAAATCTGTATTGTGTGTGATTTGTTGTTTTTCTTTGATTTTTAAAAACGTGTTCATATTACCTCCAGTTGTACTTGAGGATATACACACACACATGAAACCACACGAATGTTCCAGTAGAATATACAAAATGACACATTTACAGTGGAACCTCTAAAGAATGTTTCATTTCAATCCAAGGGACCTCAATATTTTCTATGTTCTTTTGATTTTTCATGAATAGCTTGTTTCTCAAAAGGTAAATTAGTTATAAATTATCCATCCACTGGCTACCCTGAATAGTAGTTCCACTGTATTAAGGTGCATTTCCCCCTCAGAACTGTTTAAATTAGGAACATATATATTCCCCCGAAAACGTGTCATGCAGAATTTCAGTGATAAGAATAAAGAACAGAAGGACAGAGACTTAGAACAAATATTGAATGAAACAAACATATAATTTGTAATAAAAACATAACAGGTCTCATATTTACAAAAGCAGCACATAGAAATAAGGGTCACTTTAGGAGCAAAATATTCTGGGACACTCAGCATATACACCACTCTGGAAATACAGCTAGCTTTGGGTTACAGGACAGCAACTGAGAGCAAAACAGGAATGAGGAAGAAAGGGAGCAAGTAGTAAATAAAGGAAATTGTGACCACTCTAACATAAGTCATAATATATTTTAGGATCTTTCAGGAGGACATGTGACATGTCTGAACATCTGAGAGAACAGGTTGCTCTCATACTGCTTTCACAATCTCCTACAGGAGACAGAAAATAAGTTTCAGGGTTCCTGGATCCCCCCCCCAACCCACTTACAAAAACAATGGGGAAACTTGCAGGACCAAGAAAGCTATGCTGCATGCTATTTGTTTTGCTTATGGTGTCTAGTAGGTAGCATTGTATGTACAGATGCATTGTAAAGCACTGAAATAGGACGGA